TCCCAGCAAACTCGGAATCCAAGATTCAAGATCAGAGGTCCGAAATCCAATTGAAACCCAAGTTCGAGACCCAAAGTTTTTATTGAGTGAGAAGAGGTAGAAAGAGGCAAGATCGATGTATGTAAACAGCATAAACATATATTAAAGAGTCGGAGGAATTTGCAACTAAATTAGAAGTTAAGCAAGGATGTGTACTGAGTCCGGCGCTGTTTTCAAAATTAATGGACGACGCTACTAAAATGAAATAAAGTAAACTATAAGAGATAATATTCGCAGATCATATGGCTGTTTAAGTTCCGAGACAAAAAGATGTACAAAACAACTTAAATTTTATAAATAATAAACTACTTACTCATAAACATGAAATAAACAAAGAGTATGATAATTCTAAATAAGAATCAAATACATCAAATCAAAGAGCCAGACAAGAAATCGAACAAATGAGTAAAATAACGAGGAACTGGAACTGAACAAGAAATAATTAGAGTTTTTTGAAAAAAGAGATATCCAAAAAACTATAAGTACAATAGCAATAATAACAGTAGCTAGCGAGACAAACATTGATACATACTAGTGACTCATGGATACTTACAGAAAACAAATTGATCGAAGATAATTTCGATAGAACTTCCCTCGGCCCTGAAGTAAAATAAAACAAATCCAGCTCTTTCGAAAGATATAAAACTTAAAATAAAGATATGTATTTCATATTTAAGTAAATGTATAGAAGAGTTTCTCTTTTACAAAATATTATGATGTTATCATCAGCATTTTTGCGAAAACACTTGTATCAGTTTCGATAGCTAAAGTGTAATACTAATAGCAGCAGTGCTGTATTTCCAAATTTTCGGAAAAATGGAATGAGCCGTCCCTGATTTAATCAATTCAATAAACTGACTCATTTATTCATTTTTTGAGTTACGCTGTGTAAGTAAGTATTTCTAAAAAATATGAATAAGTATAATGTTGAATCACAAAGTTTAGATAGACTTTAAGATGACATCATCAATTTTTTGGAAGGGACAAAGATATATATTTTGAAGACAAATATACCATGCTCACGATAATTTTAAAACATCTGCAAGATTTCAAAGCATTCGGTTATGCGGATTCAAAATTAAATTGCAAAATGTTATTACACAATTTTGATTTTTTTTCTGAACGTGTTGGGCAGAAACTCAACACCGATTCCTAAACTACACTTCCAGGACATTCTTTAGCGAACGCCGCTCGGCGGCCGTCACCGACGATGAGTCACACATGCGTTGTTTGCTACATTTTCTTCTTACGACTTTTTCAACTGAACACCAGTTATAAATACATTGTCAGTGAAATGGAGTGTAACTCTTGTAGTAAACCTTTTTTAAAATCAAACTGTTTGTTGATACCTAAAGTTGTATTTTATTCTAAAAACTTTGTGCTAGCAATACTTTTTCAAAAACTGTTCCACCGAAGACCGAAATCTGAGACCCAAATGGGCCAGATCAAACGATGACCAACCGATGCCTGACCAAGTAGTCCGACATTTTCCCTTCCTGAAAATAACACAACTGATGTCTACTCATACGGAAAGTCGGATAGGGCCGGGCCATGCCGGGTTAGGGTCGGTCCCAAGCTGAAGTGCCTCTAATAACAGAGACACTAAACTTACTCATCGGCAAATATATCTTTTTATATTAGTACAGATAGAATAACTTTCAATACAACCGATATAATGTATAAAATATTCATTCCGTCCTGGTTTATTATGTGCAAATGTCTATTATACCGGTGAACACATGCAGCTCTGCAGATTTAAATTTGGACGTCCTTGTATTCTGCATACCCTTGAATTTTGAAACATCAACCAATATTTGTGATTTTGCATTTTATAATTATATTATACATGAAGATCTTGGAGGCTCGACACGAACAAAAACACAAAAACTAGAAAAATGTGTAATGCTTTTCGTAGTCTACTCGGACACATAACGCGTAGAACTTGTTTTTTAGCAAAAACAAAAGGGTATATCGGGTCCTTCTCTTTAAACCGAACTTAAAGGGAAAAGGTAACACCCAGTAGAAATGTTTTAGTTGGATATTCTACCTGGAGCAGCGAAGACTCCACTACAGTCAAACAGCATAACTCACCAGAAACCTGAGTCTTTGAACCCTAAGACACACCAAAGTTACAAGAGGAGTTCAAGCCACGCGTTTCCTCAGAGAAAATTATTCCAATGCAAAGCCGGCGGGAAAACAAATGAGGTAGGTATGACCGGAAAAATAAAACTTTGTAGCAGAAAAACCAAGGCGTGATTTCATCGTGTAGTCTGCATGTTAAACAATTTTTTTCGTCTTGCTTATTTCACAATCTAATAATATTAATTTAAATATTATTTAAATTCTTTCGAGACCCAACGTCCCAAACTGAGAAATTATACTACTGTCTGGAATTTCATAAAACACATTTTCTTTATAACAATACTAGATATTGAAGATTTAGTGATTCTAGTGCCTACAGATTATTGTAGATAGAGTTGGTAGCATGAAAAATGTATTGTGTAGGAGAAAAGTCGGCACAAGTCGATATGGAATTATACAATTTGTTACAAAATATTTACCGTCTCGACTCTATTTTTGCTCTTAAAATTCTGCTCCGGTTTGTTGCAATTTTGTTGTAAAAGGCATTTTTTATAAATTTTTCTAAATTTTTGTATTCATATTTTAGTATTAATAAAGTTCATTATGTCAAAAAAAGCAATACAGAATTAGTTCAAAAATAAAACAATTATATAAATAACAATTTACGGCATTTTCTCTTGAATTTATTAAATTACCCAAAAATTCTAGGTCCTTACAGTATGCAAAATGTTTGCTCTACGCAGATGATGTTAAAATAATCCATGAGATTAAATCGAAAGAAGACTGCATTTCTTTGCAGTTTAGTATAAATCGTGTATACGATTGGGCTATCATCTTCCACTGAATCGAGTCAAGTGTATTATTAAAACCTTTAGCAAGGAAATTTTGTAGCTAGTATTTGATTATAATTTGAATGGAGATGTTTTGGGAAGACTGGAATTTGTTCGCGATCTGGGTTTAACGTTTGATAGCAAACTCGACTATATTGAACATGTTAGACAAATATCTAAATTATCATATAGATCCTTGGCATTTGTCATTCGAAATTCTAACGATTTTCTTGCTGTTTGAACTACTAAGACTCTCCATTTTGCTTATGTAAGGTCTCGGCTAGAATATTGCTATGTGGTGTGGAGCCCCCTTTATAAAGTCCATGTTATGGCGTTGGATAAGATTCAGAGGCGTGCTTTAAAATATTTGATTTACAAGTTGGATGGAGTTTACCCCGTTAGAGGTACTTCGAATGACATCCTATATGAGCACTTAGAATACAGAAGGGAAGTAGTTTATGTTATATTATTACACAAAATTATAAACAACAAAATCAAGTGTGAAGATTTGGTAGAAATGTTAAAACTTAGAATTCCTAGAAAAAATTTACGACGCAATACTATTTTTGGCAGAAAACTTCAAAAACTAATACATTAAGAGCTGCACCTCTCCACCAAATGCTGGAGTGCTACAAGAGAATAGAGAACAGGGTCGACATTTTCAATTGCAAAGTTTCAGAAATAAAGAAAAATATTTAACATTTAAAAAGAGAATGGCCTGCAGATTTCAAGATGTGGAAACTAAAACGCTCTATACGTCTTCTATTATGTTCACTTTTTTGTCGTTTCAATCGTTTCTTTTAGGTTAAAGATACAGCTATACCTCTTGGTAATTGGGCCTTCAGCCTGTCAAGAGAAGTCAACAATAATAATAACAGAATTGGGCCAACGACTGAACCTTGCGGAACACCTGAAGTAACTAGATAATCATTTGAACTGAGTCGGTTTAAATGTACACATTCATATTGATCTAAATATGTTTTAAACCATGACAGAAGAGGATCACTAGCTTTTTTAAAAGTATAAAATCATTGGCAGTGTCAAATGCCTTCCTGAAGTCTGCATGGACATCTAAGTTATTTTCATAGGCATCAAACACATAATTAACAAAAGTAAAAAGATTGGTTAAAGTTGAACGTTTTAACAAAAAACAATGCTGGCATGGAGTTATTACAGTTTTAAATTTCTCAAACATTTGAGCAGCTACAATGCTTTGAAAATTTTTTAACGCGAACTTCGAGGTCTATAATTTTTTATTCCAACCTTTGAACCCGTTTTAAAAATAGAAAGTATAAATGCGGATTTCCAGATAGTCGGAAACTTGCCAGAATTAGTAGATCGATTTTATAATCGGCAAAGCGGCATGTTTTAAAAAAACGATTGCGGTAGTCCATCAGATGTTGAACAGTTTTTGTTTTCAAGCCTCTATAGCGGACTGAGAACGGAGGCGACATCAATTATAACTTATAATATTGTTTAAATTGTAGTCGGTTTTTTAGTAAAACTAATTTTTAATCTTCGAACGAGCGGTTTTATTAAAATTCTGTTTAGATACCGTCGTGTCCCGTACTGCTTCCTCCTCACTGCTGCCATCTAGTTGTAGCGCCAAATTTGAAATTTTAAATGTAGGTGACCACAATTCGGCCAATCCTGACATTATGATCGTCCCGATCATATACACAAAGTAAAACATAAGGTACATAACATAATAAGTGACAGAAAACATAAGGTGCTTAAACTTCAGTCACACAAACATCATAAGTTAGTGAAACATAAAATGTTAAAAACATAAGTCACATAAATCCAATACATAATATAACGCCTAAATAACATAATGATAAGACGCACATAAGTATCTAAAGTACATAAATCACATAAGTAATTAGGACACATAAAAATCATAAGGGTATTAGAGATGGATTAGAAAACCCAATCGCTTAAAAGACGCCTTAAAAGACGAACATGTTAGCGTCAAAACTAGAACGAGGTGGAAACAAAACTAAGAAACACAACATTATGAAATAATCAACAAATGAACCTAATCTCTTTGTAACTTATTGAAGCCAAAGCTTCATATTCTCAGGACAACATACTCCCTCAAATGGGATTTGCGTTACTTGGAAACCTTCAACGTCTGTAATCCAATAACGATCATTGCCTAATGACTTCTTGATTTCGTAGGGACCACGATACCTAGGTAAAAGTTTTTTATTAATACCTGGTGTAACATCTATGTTTTTTATCATCACATAATCACCGACATTGTACGGTTTAGGAGGTCTGTGTTTTTGGTCATACATGCGCTTATTGTATGCTTGTAACTTTTCATTCTGAGACTGAGCCTTTTCTCGAACCTCGGCTAAGTCATCTTCTTTGTCAGCTTCAGCGCCCAATAAATTTCTTAAAGGATCGCTAGGATCGTTTTGACTAATACCGAACAATAAAACGGATGGAGAATTACCAGTGGATCTACAAAACGAATTGTTAATAGCAAATTCAACTGTTCCCAAAGCTTTCTCCCACTTGTTTGTTAAAATAGCCAATTTTGACAACATTGGTGTTAAGTCTCGATTGATTCTTTCGATCTGACCGTTTGATTTTGGTGACCCCGTCGCGACTTTAATATGCTGAATCATATGTTCTTGAACAAACTTTTCGAACTCAATAGAGGTAAAACAGGATCCCCGATCGGATACAATACGTAATGGTACACTATAGTGCCTAAAATAATTTTCTAACTGATTGATTACTTCACAAGTTTTGGTGCTCTTGACTGCATACAGTTTTACAAATTTAGTGAAACAATCAATGATCTCAAAAATATATCTTTTACCTGTCGAAGTTTTTTCTAATGGACCATAATGGTCAATATGTATGGTGACAAAGGGTTTATTTCCCTTAGGGATATTGTGTAACTCACTCGGCACAGCGCCACCAATTGGTGAAAAGGTGATACATTTCAAACAATTTCGAACATAATTTTTCACTTTTTCTTTAATACTAGGAAACGAATAGCTGCGTTTTAGATACTCCATAGTTTTGTCCACGCCAATGTGACCGAAATTATCATGACACATAGTTAAGATCTGACTTTCCATCAACGAAGGAACGTAAAATAAAAGCTTTCCTTTGCTCTTTCTATACACTAGTCCATTCCTAAGTTCAAATTTTGTACTTTCGCGGATTTCGAGTTCAGACTTAACCTTTTGAATACTCGAATCTAAATTTTGAGAAATAGCTAAATTTTGTTCCAGTGTATTTTCCTCTAGTACTAAAATATTGTTGGCTCGACTTAAAGCATCAACATGGATCATCCGTGTTCCTGGACGATGTTGCAATTCGTAGTCATAATTTTGTAAAAATAGTGCCCACCTAGAAATTCGAACATTAATATCTTTTTTATTCAGAGTAAGCCTAAAACTATCACAGTCTGTGACAATCGTAAAATGTATACCGAAGAGATATATATGAAATCGTTTAATAGCATAAATAGCGGCTAAACATTCCAATTCAAAGCTATGATATTTAGATTCGGTTTCGGTCGTCCTACGACTAAAATAAAAAACAGGATGAAACTTTCCCGACGACTGTTTTTGAAGTAAAATAGCTCCAAACCCAGATGTGCATGCATCGCAGTGCAACTCTGTTTGGGTATGCGGATCATACACAGCTAAAAGAGGATAAGAAGCTAATTGATTTTTTACTTGTTCAAATGATTCAAGTTCTTTTTCACCAAACCGAAACTCAACATTCTTTTTTAATAAGTCATATAAAGGTTTTGTAAGGACGGAAAACCCATTTATAAATTTTCGAAAATAACTAGCAATACCAACAAACCTATGAACTTCCTTAGCATTTGTAGGAATTGGATACTGCAAAATTGCTTCGACATTTTTCGGATCAGGTCTGATGCCATCATTGTTTACTAGATATCCTAAATACGAAATTTCAAACATAAGAAAAGCACATTTATCAATTCGAAAAAGCAAATTGTGTTGGGAGGCTGCACCAAATACTTCTTTCAAAATATCTAAATGTTCTTCGTAACTGTTGGTCGCTATTAGAATGTCGTCTAAGTACAAAATAATTTTGTTTGCTCGAATTAATTTATTGAAAACTAAATTAATAAATCTGTTAAAAACTCTTGGGGCATTAGTTAACCCAAAAGGCATTCTAAGATATTCAAATTGCCCTAAAGGTGTGATAAAACTAGTAAATTTAATCGACGATTCTGCTACATGAACATGATGGAAACCATCCTTAAGATCAAGGGTCGTAAAATATCTTTTGTTTCGAAGTCGATCCAGATTGTCTTCTATCAAAGGAGTAGGAAAGTTGTCTTTAATAGTAATTTTGTTTAATTCGCGATAATCAACGCAAAGCCTTAAATCACCTGTCTTTTTTCTTACCAGTAAAATTGGACTACAGTAATCAGAGCTACTAGATCTAATAATGCCTCGTTCTAATAGATCATCTAACATGTTTTGTAATTTTTCTTTTTCAGAAAAGGATAAACGCCGTGGTCTAAAAGAGATTGGTTGATTATTCTTAACACAAATGCTCATTTCGTAATTACAATCAATCTTTGGCGAGTCATTACATAAATAAAAATTATCATACACTTCCAAAACTTCCACTTTTTTATCATAATCTAAACAAGGATTGATCTGTACTTCTTTGTTACTTTTTATTTCTTCACCTACCTTAAAATCGACATGTAAAATTTGGTCAAAGTTATTTACTTTCTCAAATTCGTTTGAAATAATTTTTAAATGATCTCCTAACGTAAACGTGAAACCCTTGGTATTGAGAAAATCTCTACCTAATATAGCGTTAAAGGACATGGTGCTATTAGGAACTACATAGAATTTTATGGGTAAAACAGTTTCATTAACAAATACTTCCGTGTTAAAAATACCCAAAATATCAAGCTTCGATTCATTCACACCCACGAAATTTAAATTTGGATTTAGATCTTCATTGAAATTATTTTCGGTGACATACCGAACTTTTACAACTGAAATTGGGCTACCTGTATCGATTAATGAATTCAATTTATAGCTACATTCGGTTTGACAATCATCTTTAACATTAATCTTAACGTTTACCATATAGGGATCTTGTGTCTCGGTTGATATCACATTGGTGGTGTTGTCTTCCTTTTTCTTCCCTGGACAATTCCTCTTCTGATGTTCCTTTGAACCGCAATTGTAACAGGAACCCTTTTCCCTCACCGGAATTGGACAATTTGAGGCGAAATGGCCCACACCATTACAATTATAGCATCTTCTAATTATGTTCTGATTTGGAGGGGTTTTACTACTGCCCTTCGCTCCTACAGACCCCGGAGAATAAGTTCCTTTGTTTTCGTTATGCTTTCGGATACGTTGACCAACAGATTGAGTCGAAGGTGTACGGATCTTTCTAATCTTCTCATAAACTTCAATTTTTTTCTTTAAGTCGACATAAGTTTTAGCTTCATACAACAAAAATTTGTGTTCAGGATCATCGTTGATACCTTGAATGACATATTCGATTACTGACTCCTCTTCAATTTGACCCTTTGAAGCGAGTTCACGCATCTTCAACAAGTATTCCTGGAGAGATTCTTCTTTTTTCATTTTTCTATTATTCAGCATGCGATTCAGTTCAGCAGTGCTCACCTTCTTGGAAAATTCACTCAATAACCTGCGTTTCAAGTCCTTCCATGTACCCAAATTCCTCTGACTTTGGATAAATAACTTAGCAAGCCCAGTTAATGATTTCTTCGCAAAAACTAGTCGTTGCAGTTCCGACCACTTCATAAGTTTAGCGATGTCTTCAAAGTCTGCGACCCAAGTCTCGATTGCATAATTGTCATCACCACTAAAAGTGCGTACGGAATCTTCGATGTCTCTGAAAGACATGGTGAACGTAGGGACTGCTGCCGCGCCTGCTCGACCATCATCACTGTCTACCGGATCATCTTCGTCGTCCTCGTCGTCACTTTCTTGTTCTTGAACAACTCTTTCTTGTGTAAACAGATCAAAATCAGTCAACACTGAACAAATTCTCTCGGCCACTTCTTGGTGAGTACCTGCACAATTCAACCCCAGTAGAAGGCCGACTCCACAAAGTTCTGCGATCGTAAAATTCTGCACTACCTCATCCACTTTCTCATTGAAGTCATCTGATGCGATCTCAAAAGGGAAACCCGTCCATTGACACAGCTTCTTTCTGTTCAACCGACTACCGTCGTCAAAGGCAAGGCCGTATAGCGTACGTACCGATGCATAAGGACCATTCTTAATAGCGTCGTCACACAACTCCACTTCTTGGAGGGTTCTTGCCATCTTCTCCTTTTATGAAAACCGTGATGAGTTGACATAACCTCACATTTCCCACGTGCTTGACTCTTCTACCATTTATCAGTGTAACTATTCCATGAATCAGCACTTTACAAACACAAATCGGACATTGGTCATTCCGATGTTAAGGTCGTTCATCCCACTCCTGAAATTGTAGTCGGTTTTTTAGTAAAACTAATTTTTAATCTTCGAACGAGCGGTTTTATTAAAATTCTGTTTAGATACCGTCGTGTCCCGTACTGTTTCCTCCTCACTGCTGCCATCTAGTTGTAGCGCCAAATTTGAAATTTTAAATGTAGGTGACCACAAAATCAACAAACTGATCTACAGGAAAGTCGATATGGTCTAAATTAAAGTTATTATCAGAGTTAGGCACAGCCGAAGTGATGCTGAATCAATCAGACAAATATTAAAAATTAGGCACGCCGTCAGACGATAAATTTGGCTGGGCGACTGTGCAGTCTCAACCTCAGTGGTGTTTGATGCAATTCAGGGTTTATCTGATCAAGATCATTACGAAAATTGTGATGTTGAACAGTCATTTTTAATTTTTGAAGCATTTTAACATCTAGGAGAACTGAGAAAAACCTAGAAAAAGTAGTCATTGTTGTTAAGAATTCCCGAAGTAGTAGTAGGCCACGACTGCAACAGCGCTGGCGATCGGACGACAATGATCATCATTTCCACGCTGCCGAAGTCTAGTTATTATTATTAAATGCTAAGGAAAAATTCATAAAGGACGGTTGCGGTATATTTATTTTTAACAAAACTCCAATTTTTTTAGGATTATCAATCATGGCATTCTCTGAATGTGCAACAAACGATAAATAGGGTCTACTACCAGCAGTTTTACAATCGTTTCTAAGTTGGGAGAAAATTAAATAATCATTAAATATTTGCTGATTTTATAACGCTTATGAGTAATTCTCTTTAAATTAATTAAATTTCGGACATCTTAAGAAAACCACGCAGGAAAGCGCTTCCTATTTGTATTTAAGACGAACAAACCTATCACATACAAAAAATAAATGCGTGTAAAAAATGGAAACAGCAACATCAACCTAACAATGTTGTACAAATAAACAGAGACAAATTATTTAAAACACATCAAAAATGAGAACTTCGACAATAAATAATTTTAGAAATAAAGGCTTAGAAACCGCACTTTTAGAGAAAAAACTCCAAATATGTTCCGATGTGGGGTTACTTTTCAGTATCAACATAACGATTCCTCCACAAAATCAGAAAAGGAAGCCTGAGTAAGTGGATGAAACAATTAACGAGGCCATCATGAATAGATTGCTGTA